CCTTATGAGAAACTTTACCTTGACTTGAGACCAACTCGAGTTGCAACCAGAGTCACGGAACAGATTAAGTTCGTAACTAAAGGTACCACTGTATTCAGTACAACATGTTTTCTTTCTCCTGCTTTTCCTTCTACCTTTGCCTGTTCCTGGCCTTATTATCAGACCTGTGTGCCCAAAGAAACTTTGTACAGATGAATGTTGCAATAATTTAAAAAATCATGGCATAAGAGCAGCCAGCCCATCACTTGTACCTGTCTGTCTGAAGTGTAGCTTATGGACAATGCTATAGTGAGTTGCACTTCTGAACTAAGATATATTGGTTCATTTTGGAATGTATGCTAGGTTTTTGATCACACTGTCTCCCTTGCCCATTGAGCCAAAAGAGGGCAGCTCCTTCTTCACAAGCCAAGTCTTAAGCAAGAAAAGACAGGAGCACATGAATGCCATGTTAATATTTTTATGCAATTTCCTTTTACTGAAAATCAGCTTCAAATTTGGTCCATGCTTTTGTCAGCTCAGCAGTTTTGGGGGGGGGGGGGCTGTAAGCTGAATTCATTTACAAAATCATAGACTACATAATATAACAATGGTAGATTTTGTTCTATAAATTCCAGCTTTGCTTACTGAAAGTAAACAGCGGCAGTTAATGGAACTGAATGTAAAAGACAATGAAATGTCCCCAGTATGCTTAATGAAGAGGAAATGAGTGGAAATGAAATCTAAGGTGCGTGGACTCAGTTCTTTTAAAAGAAATTACAAAAGGTAGCTTGTGACATCAGAAGGACTGCAGACCACAGATTTTTTTTTAAAAAAAATATCATTTGTCATGACAGTATATGATAGGCACAAGGGAAAGAATCAAATGGAGTCATTCCCAAGAAAAACTTATTGCTAAAGCTGCAGTACCACTTACAAATAAGTAAGATGACTGCATGGGTTTGGAAATAATGAAATCCATCTGCTTGTTCTCAGATTACTAATGAACTCTGTAAAACCATGTTCATCTCCCTTGCAAAAATAATGGTATTTTAATTTTATGTCTTATCATGTTTTAGCCAATGAGAACAACTCAGAAGAGAACTTGAAATTTCACAGCAGAACAGAGGAATAACTGGAGCAGATTTAAAAGGGCAAGAACAGAAAAAGAAAAAAAGAAAGAAAATCATATGAATCAGAATTGGACCATTTAAGGGCAGGCTTAGACTTCCTTACAAAAGACAACAGCCTACCAGAAAGTGAGCACTTATTCATGAAAAGCCCATTCAACTTTCTACAGGTTTTGCACAGTTTCTTCTATGGAGTTATAT